GCACGCACACGCACACACGCACACACGCGCACGCACACACACGCGCGCACACGCACACACACACGCACGCACACGCACACACGCACACACGCGCACGCACACACACGCGCGCACACGCACACACACACGCACGCACACGCACACACGCACACACGCGCACGTGTGTATACGATGTCATTTTATGCGTAAATCGCTGTTAGCAGGTTGCAGAAATATTAGAGAACACATATTGTTGTATGGATTCGTGTGCATTCACGGTCAAGAACTTTCCGCGCCAGAAATATATGTGCATGTGTATCTACATAGAAACGATTAGAGCCAAGTAGTTATTACTTATATGTAAAATATTCCTAATTAATATTGAACCATACGTCTTTTTATGTAGCGTAATTTTAATCTATTTTAACTGAAAATGTCCAAACAACCTAGAGTAATGCATCCGTTTAATACAGATATCAGAGCGAGCCCTCCAGCTTGTTCTGAGACAGGTATCTTTGCTCATTCAGGTAGAGGCAGAACACTCTAGCAAACCGCCGAAAGGTAGGAAGCGACAGCCGGCTGGCACGGTGGACCAGCGCAGCAAAAAATCCACCAAGAAACAGAAATCGTCAAAGCAGATGGCCGGTGACATCCCCGCGCTGTATGCTTACGTAAACAAAGTGAGTGCGTAATTACACAGCGTTATCAATTATAAATCATACATACGACAGCACGGTGGGACATTAATTATGGAATCTGAATATATTCGGCGCGCGGTTTTAGTTGCGCGTGTGTATGCTTGTGATGTAACGTTTATACCAATTAGCCATGGCCATGCTGATAGATATATGTGTGAAAACAAGATCCGTTGACAGGCTTCTAGCCTATATTTTACAGCTGAATATGATATAATGATATCAGGAGTGAATAATAATAGATTATTATAGATTATAGATGATAGATTATAGATAATAATAGATCTATTATTATTCACTCCCAATATATATAATGATATGATGATATAATATGATATGATATCATGATATAATAATATAATATAATATGATATGATATAATGATATGATATGATGGCCATAGAAACGTCTATACATGTTTGCTCGATGTCAATATTAGTAGGAAACCTATGTACGGTCTAGGAAAATAGTAAAATATAAATTCCTGACGTATGATATTTCGTCCTGACGCAGGCATTCAGTGGCAGTGAGGAAGATGAGGACATAGAAGAAGCCACGAATAAACGGGCAGGAAGCTGGATGCATCGCAGCGGCACCCTGGAAGATCTCAACGTAAGAACCACGCACGGCTTACACGCACTCAAACACACGCACGCACGCACGCACGCACGCACGCACGCACGCACGCACGCACACACACACAGTACACATACGCGACGTACACACGCATACAGCATGTCACATACACGCACGCGAACGCACGCACGCACGCCACACCACACACGCACATACCGTTACGGCACGTACACACCGCATTGCACGCATGCACAGCACACGCCGCACGCACGACGATTGCAAGTTACGCACCGCCACTCACACGCACGCACGCGAACGAACGCGCACGCCGACACACATACAGATACACACACCTGCGCACTCACCGCACACACACGCACACGCACTCGCACACCGCACCACGCACGCGCACACGTGACACGCGCACACGACGCACGCACGCACGCACGCGACAGCGCAGGCAGAACGCACCACCACAACAACACCACACACACACACACACACGAATGCCAATGCACACTCACAACTACACAGCTAACCCACTTTTTACACCGTTTTACGTATTCATGTGTAGTGTCAACGGGATATTCTTCTGTAAAACAATTAGTTTACCTATCGTCAACCCCTATCTACTTACCGGACGGTGGGTGACGTAACTTTGCGTGTGCGTCTGTGATTGCAGGCTGACATGGAAGGCTCGTGGTTTGACATGGAGGACCGCTTTCCCGACCAGGACAGCAACTCAGACATGGAAGAGGCTGCCGCTCTGAGCCAGACCTCAGACATCGCCGTCGTCCTCAACAAATGTGACAGCCACCACCGGATGGCGCTGTACAAGTTGACAGCCGACGCCGAGGACGTCGTGAGGTTGTTCCCGCCCGGCCGGGACGCCGACGACGACGCCGCCGCCGCAGCACCCGTCTACATCATTCCCGTGAAGAACTGCGGTGCGATGAACATATACAGACTAGCTCTGCAGGAGCAGCTGACGATGACGGGATCCGCAGGCAACCTGACTCGCGGCGATGCCATGCTCGGAAGCAGAGACTTCAGCACGCTAACGACTGGCATCGGCAGCGACGACGCCGAGTCGGACGACGGCCGCGAGATGGCGCTGCGGCGGCGCGAGGTGGCGCCACCGGTGCGCGAGGCCGTGCGCGCCGCCATGATCGCCGAGCTGTATGCAGACATGGCCGCCGAGGACGGCGACGACAGCGGTCACGAGACGACGGTCGAACGCATCGCGCGCGGAATCTCCTGCCAGGGTGCGCCGCCGCGGCGCGTGGCGTACGTCGGGCGGCGGGTGTCGCGCCGCGAGTCCGTGAAGAGGGCGCTGTGCGTGGCGGACATGTTGAGTCGGTCGGCGGAAGACGGATCGGCGCGGAGCCGCGAGCTGTTCGTGGTCGGCGGTGGCGCCACCCAGTGTCACGGCAAGTCAAACAAGGATGCCTGGCTGCTGAACTGGGAGAAGCTTCTCGGGAAGCTGACGATACCGGAGGAGGTGCTTGAGAAGCTGCGGGAATCGTGCAGGAGGCGCGACGGGGAGGGACTGTCGGCCGTGAGCGGAGCTGACATGACAATCGGCGCATATTTCTAGTGATGGGCGTATAGGTAACCTCGTAAGCAGGCAAATAACTGCCATGTAACCGTGGAAACTAGAACTCGGTTAGCAGCGACATATCTGTATGCGTTTCTAATAGCGGGAGTGCACAAGTCGTTGATTTTTCTTGTAAAAGACTGTTGTCAGATATTATTTTTCAATTGAATGTGTAGAAGCCAGTTGTTGTTATGTCATATATATATATATATATATAAATGAATCGAGGGGTTCATAATATATAAATAAATAATGAACAAAGGGTTCATTCTGCTGATTATGACACGAGTAATCTGGATGGAATTCACGCTGTTATACCAAATAGGTTATGATATTTAATCTGAATGTATGATGCAAAACATTTCTTTAATCCGTTACAGTGGCACAGATATGGAATTACGAATATATTTATCTGCTATATAAATAAGGCATCTGCACAAACTGCAAATTGTACAGTTTTCTCGTCAGAGTGTTAACACATCACTATTATCTTGATCGCTAATAAACGATTTTAATATACTAAGTAAATTGAAAGTATATTTCTGAAATTCTTTATCAGTTGATCGATCAAGTCATTGGTCTGTCCGTTCGTTCGGCTGTCCGCCTGTCTGTCCGTTCATCCAACCAGTTCAGAGATATTCTATACCCACATTGGCAAATATCTCACAGTCAGATATTTTCTGGTAGGTTTTGATGAAGTACATGAGAATATATCTATATCTCTTTTTGTAGTGTAGTATGAGAAACTAGCTTGAATTGCCTGTATGGACTACTAGCAGCTGTTGGCAAGTTTACACCAGCCACTTCCCATAACTGGCTAGGACGGACAGGTGCCTGGAGACCGTCAAATAATAGCAGTTGACAGCGCCTTCTTTCAGACTAAATACCTATGTCCCGCCTACCACTTAAACATCTCGTTTGACTTTTCCTTGGCGTGGTCTACTGGAGTTTTATTCCTGTGGGATTTCGAGTACCAAGCTGTATACAGATAATCCGGCCCTATATTATTACTGTAATACTGTGCGTGGGGTAGGTGGCTGAGCGTGCGTGTGTGCGTGCGTGCGTGCGTGCGTGCGTGCGTGCGTGTGTATGCGCGTGGTGTGCACGTGTGCAACGTTCGTTGTTATTCACTCCTAATATTATTGTAATACATCACACACATATATATATATATATATATATATATATATATATATATATATATATATATATATATATATATACATATAATTATATCATACAGTAAAGGAAATTGCAGGAAGATTTGTCATCTCATAATTGTTAACATGACTCATTATGATAGAGACTCTTCACATCATCCTGCTACGGCTGCTAGTGATCGTATATATGCTCTTTATTTCAAATATACAGTTTCAACAAAATACCATTACTTTTGGCATACGTATATAGCGGTCACGCGTAAACACGGGTTTCCCACTAAGCTACAGCAGTGTCTGGAAATTCCGAAAAACGGAGCACCCTATAGTTAACTCGAGATTTTGATAGTGATTTATGATTGAAAGCTATGAGTGAGTATATGCTTTCTGTCGTTTGAACATATAATTTCAACAAAATAAATAAATAAATACATGCTATACATAATATCAGGAGTAAGATAATATAGGATATATAGGATCCTATATTATCTTACTCCTGATAATATGACTCTTAAATTATTTATTAATATCAGTTGTATATTCGTCTTATCTCACGGAGCATTAGAGATAACATCGACTAAACCAAATCGGTGGCCTATAAGTACTGCTAAATATGTGACCAATCAATTGAGCTGTATATAATAACAGTAATGATGTTTTTCAGCTCAGTGGGTCAGTGGACATAACAAATGATGGTGAAACGAATTTTGTATTCCTGTGACCGAGACATAATAATCAGGCTTGTATTCTGTCCGACAGATGGCGACACGTACTGGTTCCTAAAAATGAAATGCAAAAAATCGTCGTTTAACGTTTGTAGGTCAGTTGAGTTGGTAAATAAACTGCGCAGTGTAACAGGTATTGTAGGCAAACGCTGCTACGCTTGCGGTATCGAGATACGACGGAGGGAAAATGTTGCACGTTATCAAGAAAGCGTATCGTCGTCCAGCCGCGTTAGTAAGCCGCTACTTGGCAACTACATCTGCTCAGAATCAGATACCGAACCCTAAGACGGATGTACAGCCGCATTACAACAAGGTTTGTTTTTGCGAGGCGTAGACCTACGTGACGTACGTGACGTACGTAATGTAGTAAAGCCCTGCACAAATCCACTTTAGGCACCTTATCATTTATCACGAAGTGACGCACAAAATTACGTGTATCATGAAGTGATGTAGACCAATAAATTGTGCCCTAAAAATTTTTATATTCTGATGTTATTTCAACATCAGAATATAATAAGAATAATCAAAATCAGAATAACATCAGAATATAAAAATTTTTAGGGCACAATTTATTGGTCTAGAAGTGATGTACAACAGTGTTTCCGTCACTTTCCGTATATCAAGAAATACCGGTACCGTACGTCACCCTGTGAATGCGTTCAAGAAACAACGTTCGTAAAGGGGTGGACACACTAGGCGATTTTTCTTGCGATCGAGTCGGCCGACCGAGCCGGCCGGCTCGATCGCATGAAAAATCGCGTAGTGTGTGCAGTGAGTCGCGGTCGATTTTCGAGTCAGCCGGCCGAGTCGCCCGATTCAAACATGTTTGATAATTATTTGAGCCAGCCGCCTGCAATCGCCTAGTGTGCCCGGGTCTGCGATTGAGCCGGCCGATTGTACAATTCATCAGCCAATCAGCGTGCTGAAAATCCACAGAGTTGCCCGGCTCAGTCGCGTAGTGTGTCCACAGCTTAACACGAAATTTTACGCGAATCCAGTTTTGCGTAATGTCCAATTATATAATTAGAGGTGACACTGTGCTCCTACATCCCGCATTTTCGACGAAAGTGACCAAGATCTGTCTCAATCGATTACATCACAAACTCGGACATTTCGTACCTTCTCAGCAATGCAGATATAGCACTTCCTTAGCTCTAGTAACGCTCATAGGGTCTATGTCCCCCAGGGTACTGCCGGAACGGACCCTGGGTTATGGTTAGAGGTAGAGTTAGGGTTTGGGTTAGGGTTAGGGTTAGGGAGTAGGCGTAGGCGACTCCCTAGACTCGTTAGTGGAGTAGGCGAGGTACGGTCCGGCATATTAGATAGTACCAGGGTACGTTCCGGCAGTACCCTAGGGGACATAGACCCTCTCAGCTCTAGTAACTATAGCCCGCGTACAGTTGCCGCTGGCACCAACGGTCAATTGTTGCGGGTCCAGCGGCAACCTAGTACTAGAGCTAGCGGCAACCGTACGCGGGCTATAGTTACTAGAGCTAGCACTTCCTGTGAGTCTCCTGTTTCGAAAGTCCACTTGCTAGGCGATCTCTTTAAACCGGTTCCTAATTCGTGATTCTACTCCCTTGCCATATAACACGCTTCATAAGTTCTTTTCAGGGCAAATTGTAATCTTATTAGTGGTGTATGCCCAGCATATCCCTTCTCAAGGCCATGTGGGTCCCACAAGGTTCCTGGTTTCATTCTACATAACTTTATTCGTGAACTTGACCCTGCTATCCCAAATCTATTCTGTCGTTCGTATGACTGGAAATGAGCTTTCTTCGCCCAGTGTACAAAAGCAATGCCTCTTCCCTTCTGTCTAATTATTGGCTGACTTTTCTGACCGCTCTTGGCCCGTGCTTTCAAGCATGCAATTAATTCCGCTGTAATGTGTCACTTTGACATTGGCATTAGAAAACAATTCTAAACGGAATGCTGATTGTGTGTGTGGTTCATGCAGATTTTCATTAATAACGAGTGGCATGACGCGGTCAGTGGGAAAACCTTTCCTACCATCAACCCGTCGACAGGCGAGAAGATTTGTGACGTCGCAGAGGGTGACAAGGTCAGTGCACACAGAAAATTCTAGCGACGTGAAATTGTCTATCACCTGAAACTTTACATGTCACAATGTAGGTTGAACTTCAGTAATCCGTAATCTGCTGGTTTGTCAGCTTCGATGATTTGGAACAGGGATATATGTATCTGGTAATCATTAGCTTTATCTACTATTCTAATTATATTTGTGCTGTAGTTCAGTAAACATGTGCAATTACCCAATAGCAGTAACACTGTCATAAATGTCATAAAGAGCTTCAGTATACCTTGGCTAGGTTTATTTTTGTGGGATTTGTATCAGTCTCAGTAAAAATGCAGTATATATATATGCATTATTTTGTGTCTTTCCACCTCAGCCTCCATCGTTCGAAATTTACACTAATTGGTAACTGATCTGGTTCCAAGCATCCTAGATTAGTGCGGCACAATACTGAGCAGCTTTCAGTTCGCGGCTAATCTTGGATTAGGCAAGGAGGTATAGTGTGACCAAAATGTGATTGATAAAAGCATGTGACGGGCATGTACGCACATCTACCCCACCGACACAATATTTGTGTTGGTGACTAGCTTTTGTTTCTTTCAGGCCGACGTTGACAAGGCTGTGAAGGCAGCCAGGGAAGCATTCAAGCTTGGGTCCCCATGGCGACGTATGGATGCATCAAAAAGAGGCTACCTAATGAACAAACTTGCTGACTTGATAGAGCGAGACAGTGTCTACCTTGCAGTAACTGTCCTTAACACTTAATATAATTAGCTCTAAAATGTTGCAAATGTTTTAAGAACTTACCAATCCCAATTGATTTACTGTCGGACTTCCTGATTTGACATATGCAGGAGTCTGTGTGACTCCCTAAAAATTCCGCTATGCTAACTAGTTCGTTCCAGAGCACGGCCTCGCGGAATTACCGCATTTTTTCAGCAAATCTTTGTCTCCCTCTCTCCCTCTTTTTGAGAGCAGCGTTAAAAAAAACAAGTTATAACAAAAATAAACAAGTTGGACTCTCTTGTTAAAAAGTTAATTTCTACCCCTGTGTATGCCAGATGTCATTGAGGTCGTTTCACTATACAGAGTCTGGAGACCCTGGATAATGGCAAGCCTTACAACATCGCATACATAGCAGATGTTAACCTCACCATCAAGTGCTTAAGGTGTGTTGTGTGTACTCAAAGTTGAACATATAACATATAAGCCATATATTGTATATATTGTATTACATATTGCCAAACATAAGCATAGCAGGAGCAGTATAGCATCTTGTAAAAGCGTACCTAAAACCAGTCATTGCCATAATTTTAATTGTACTTTATGTCATTGTTAAATGAGCAGGTTTTGGGTATTTAGCTTGGCAGGATAGACAAGCATAGAGAAGGATAGTATATACATATACTCATATATACTCATAGTAGAACCTGTGTTTGAAAGCGAGGGTAGTGAACGCGCTGTGCAGTGCTAGGAAAATCATTCTTACTTTTCTCTTGTATTATCACAACTAAACAGTGGCTAAATGTTAAAAAGCATCTCGGAAGGAATGCATCTTCTTGATAGTCATCATGTCTGACTGTTCACACAATGTTTAATCTGGCTATAGCTTGCTGTATCCCATAGGTACTATGCTGGATGGACAGATAAGATCCACGGGAAAGTGATACCAGTTGGTGAGTGCTCGTTATAAACAACTGGAATGACTAATCGACAGTAATCTGACATGAACTTTGTTTTGTATATTTAACTTAGTAAAGAGGTGAAGTGAAGTATTCATTCCAACCATGGTCTGTTGCCGGAATTCTTAGAAGTTCAGACCCAAGTACGACAATATACAGTGGTATGCAGGGTTCTCCAAGAGCACTTATAGCCTGGCGGGCCGCCAGGCTATCGTCGCAATCTAATCGGGCGATCTACCATCCTAAAATGCACCCGCCACTCTAAATATCATAGCCGCCATGCTGGTGTATACAGAAGAAGTTCAAACAATTAATACATGTTGTTTATACACAGAGGCTGTCCTAACCCAACCCTAACCTAACCCTAACACTGACTATAAACCGACTCGGCTATCTTATATACGCGTGTTATAGTACCCAATTAATCTATGGTGTGTAACCTTTTGCTTTCAATATTTTGCATCTGAACTGACATTCAATCCCAACCAACTGGTGTAGGCTAGCTGGCACAATAATGTTCATTTTCATACTTCAAATCCGAGTGTTTTCTAGCTCATCAAGAAATCTTAATCGTGAATTAATTTCTAACGGCATTATTACGGGGCAGGTAACCCAGTCTAACACGAAGTAGAGTAGACTGGTACACTTATTGACCACTCCTGCCATTGTATTTTTTGTACATAACACTAGGGGTAGAGCCCACAATAACAAAATACAAACAGTGGACATAGCCAAAGGCAAGTGGTAAGTCAGATCCAGAACAGTATTGTAAAGCTGTCGATAGTAAAACTACATAATACAAATGAGTAAAATGATATAAGATTTACAATATCAGTATAGTTGGTATATATATGCAGTGTTAGAAATAAGACAAAAATTCCATCCGGTCCTCATTAAAAAAAATTCTAAATCCGCAATATAAGCTACAGTAATTTTCTTGAAAATTAGCCAGTCCTGCTCCAAAAGTAACCAGCCCTGCTGAAAAGTTACCAGTCAGGGACTATGGGACGAGCTGCTAATTCCAACACTAGTATATGTCAGGTTTTCTGATTTATGAGAGGTGAACTCGATTTGGAACCAGCAAACCAGCAAGTTCACCC